ATTTGTGGATCCATACAGAAATTCAAGTCGTCCCCTGCCACTATCAAGCGTCCCTTTTTGAAGGCAATCAATTTTCTCAAAACACCTTTCAGATATAACTCCGGTCTCTTATTTGGGCAATAAATATTTGCTATTGTACATTCCTTTTCTTGCAATCTACCTTTCAAAAACAAAAATCTCCCCTCGGGATCCACTTCTCTCTCCTCTATCTCCAGCCCTATGATTTTTGAAAACCCTATTGCCCACCCCCTTAGCTCTCTTAATTGGGGAATCTGCATAGAGCCATGTTGGGTAATTTCTAGAATTTAACTTTAATTTAATATTTGTCTTAATCTCAAGATGTGTCTCCTGCAAAAAAAACACTGAAGCTTCTCTATGTTGCAGCTCTTTGAATAACTTAAATCTCTTCCCAGGACAGTTCAACCCATTTACATTATATGTTATACACCGTAATTCTTCCATACTTCTTCTATCCCTACTTTTATTCCTCCTTCTATCGTGCAGAGTGTTATCCCTAAAGCCCCTCCCCACACCACCCACCATCGCCCCACCCCACCCCTCCTCCCCCCATGACCTCCGCCCCCCGCCATCCCCCTCCCGTTTTTTTTTCCTCCTATTTTTAGGCTTGAAAGATGCCTACTGATCATTTCTGGGCCTATTCTCACTTTTGATCCACCCTTGGGGCTAATCTCCGCCCATGAACGGCTCTCCTTCCTTCCAACCTCCCCAATTACCCTCCTATCCAATTGGCTCGATAGATCTCACCTGAACTCTTAAACACAAATCTCTAGAACAATACCATACCATAAGGAGGAGGAAATGAGAGGCAGGGGAAAGGAAAAAAAAAAATTCCTTTTCTCTTCCTCTTCTCTCACCCCTCTCCCTTCCCTCCCCCCTACCTCCCTCCTCTAACAAACTGCCAGTCCTCCTTCCCCATAACGCCTATTTCCCCCTCCTCTTCCCATCCAGGAATTTCTATTCTTTGCAAATCAAGTCTTTCACAGAAGTTTCTCAAGTCCTCAGGGAATCTCAGATAGGCTATAACCCCATTCTTCCATTCAATTAGGCATGCTGGAGTTCCCCATCTATAATGCACATTTTGTTTTCTCATCTGCTCTAGCAGGGGTTTCAAAGATCTCTTTCTCCACAGAGTCTCAGGTGCTAAATCCGCAAAAATCTGAATGTTTATATCTTCATACTTAATAATTGTTCTTCCCTTGATCTTCCTCCAAATCGCTTCCTTATCTCCATACTTATGGAATTGCACTATTATGTCTCTCGATTTTTCCTTCCCATTTCCTTGTTGAGACTTTCCTGTTCTAAAGACTCCATCCAGTTTAATCAGCTCTGTATCAGAACTGTCTATTATGGAGTTTAAGATTTTACAGAACAATTCCTTTTCTCCCCTTGAAATCTCTGGGACTCCTCGTATCCTAAGATTACCCCTCCCCTCTCTGTTTTCTTGTACCTCTATCTTATAAAGCATTTTTCTCTGAGTTTTCCCAATAGCAATTGTCCTATTCTCTAATTCGGAAACATTTCCACCATCTCTCTTTCGTTCGGTATTTGTAGATCACTTTCAGGGTCTTTTTTTTTCCATATTTTCACATCACTTGATGGCTACTACTATTCATTTCCAGCGATAATCTGGAGGTATTTTCCAGACTAATTTCCATTTCCCCTTTTTCACTTCCACCTTGGGGTCTTTCTGGAGTTACATTTCCCTGGGACGTATATTTTTTAATCGTACCAGTTTGGGTCCCTTTAAGCCCACTTCCTTTAGCACTTTTGTTCTTCATATTTTCTTATGAATCCTGTTTTTTTCTATACGGCCTGGATGGGTATTCAAACTATATACTATTACGCCAGTGTTAATCTACTATTTACCCATTTTACACATTCATATCTTCCTCTAGAGCCAATTAATCCCTTTTTCCTCTTTTCCGCCTCCCCTGGGAATCCCCCTTTTCTCTTTTACTGAACATTTAAATATATCACACAGTCCAATATACAGCCAGCCTAGGCCGATCTCACTCACCCTCCTCTCACTCGAATCTCCTGTGAGGCGGCTCCAGGCTGTAACCTTCCGGCATTCCACCTCTGTTTGTTTTCTTGGGGGGGGGATTCCTCTAGGGTCTTCCTCTCCACGTGGCTGCCTGTGGACCCGACTGTAGGCCCCAGCACACCACCTGACTCGTGCACAGGCTGGGAGGCGAGTCAACGCACAGGCGAGGCAGTTAGGGAGCGGGCCGGCGTCTCCTTCCCCTCTCGGGACGCCGGCCTGCTACTCCTCTCCCAGAGCTCCTTCGCGGCTGATCACGTGTTCATGCCGCGTCACTCCATCTCCCCAGATGCTCTGTCCTCTATCTCCACCGGCGCATCCCAGGACCTTCTCTCCCAGTCTCCGTCCACCGGACCAGCACAGCTCCACCGGCCAACCCCCTCATCCAGGTAGGTCTCCGGGGATTTCCCTTAGGAGGGCTCTTTGGGGATGTTTGGAAGCAGAGGTTTGTCGGAGAGCACTTATATCGTGCTCTCCTGCACAGCCGTGTTCAGGCTCCGCCCCCCCCATTTAATTCACTGTTAATGCCCCTTGGGTACACAGAGTTTTTTTTCCCTCCAGGCAAAGAAAGTATCACAGGGAAGTGGATAAAGAAAGAAGTACAATTAAGAGATATAATGAAGGGAGGGAAAATATGCTCACTTAGGGAATTGGAAAGAGGGAAATATTCACGAGAATGGATGTATGGCGCTACTTTCAGTTGAAACACTGTATACGGAATCTCCCAAAACCACTAAGAAAAAAAAGAGGATTGGAACCCCTTCGAGCACTTATTAGAAACACGAGATGGGAAGCATGGGACTTCTAAAATATACAAGATACTCACAGGTTTAAGTAAGGATATAAGGCCACTGTATATAGAAAATTGGGAGAGGGATTTAGGAGTAATAATTGATGAGAAAAAACAAGAGAAAATGTATAGTTTAATTCACGGAAATGTAAATATGAAGGAGGTAGAAATTAACTATACATTTTTTAACAAGATGGTGCATCACACCAAGTGTTGCACATAGGATAAGTGAAAATAACACAGGTCTGCGACTAAAAAGCTGTTTGATTATTTTCTTCTAATTTCCATGTATTTTGGTGTGCTGAAAACAAATAAAATATTGAAAAGACTCCTAGACGTCATGATTTGCCACAAAATGCAAAATTGTCTTCAAATTTATCAATTTTTTTTTAATTTTTGGTATTTTTTTTATATTATAGGTTTTTAAACCAAATTTAAAGTCCAAATTGCTATTAATTAATTCACATATGTGCATTTAAAATATAAAATGCCAAAATAAAAACTTAAAGGGGTTGTCCGAGTTATGTAAAAAAAATTATAGCACTGTAAATCTGATGGTCAGCAATAATGTGTCTATGGGACAGTCGAGACCGACAAAATCACTGGACCAAGAAGAGTTGGCAGCCGAGGGTGCTAACAGTCGGTGAAAAAAATGTCCTCCGAGAAACTTTGGTACCTTCCCATAAAGTTCTTCTACCACCTCTCCACATAAAATTAGGATGGATGAAGCAATTCGTAAAATCACTTCCAAGAGATGGAGAATGCTTCAAATACTTGGTCACCAAGTTTCCAGGCCTGTCGGAGGCAAAATTGAAGGAAGGTGTGTTCGTGGGACCAGACATTAGAAGGCTTATAGTTGATCAAGAGTTTGTCAATACCATGACGGATCCTCAAAAAGAAGGGTGGATTGCATTTAAAAAAGTCGTACAGAAATTTTTAGGCAATAACAAAGACCCTCACTACAAAAAGATCGTCGGACGAATGCTTAAAGCATTTCAAGCTTTAGGTTGCCTGATGAGTTTGAAAATGCATTTCCTCCTGTCCCACTTTGACTACTTTCCTGAAAATTTGGGAGTTGTGAGTGAGGAACAAGGTGAACGATTCCACCAAGACATTAAAGAGATGGAAAGGAGATACCAGGGAAAATTAAGCATTACAATGATGCCAGATTACTGTTGGATGCTTCAGAGAGATATTCCAGATGCTACTCACAAGTGTAAATGCACCAAGAGGAGCCTCACAGGGAAGAAGAATCGAGTTTAGTGTGTGTAGGTGAGCTCATTTCAGTTTAAAAAAGGCTTTTCATGAAAAAATTGTAATAAAACTTTAATTTTATAGGTCTATTTCCATTTATTTTGAGGTATTGCCTTATTTAACATAGTTACCTAAATTGACAGGAAACGTGATGTCCTATGACAAAATGGAGGTCATTTTCGGATTCAGCGCACCAAAAAAAGAAAGATTACGTGGAATAACCAAAACAGCTCTTGAAAAAATTTTTTTTGCAGACCTGTGTAATTCACCTTTATGTTGGCAGGGATGTGAAAATAGAGACACAATGTTTCATCTGTGGTGGGAGTGTCATAAAATACAAGAGTACTGGGGAGGTATAGTACACTTAATACAGGAAATAACTCAGGTCAATACTTCAAAGGAACCAGAGATTTGTCTTTGTTATGGCTCTGAGCTCTCAGTGAAAAAATACAAAAAAAAAAATCGGATAAGCACTAAGAGTAAAGGATTGGATAGAAAAGGTGGAGAGGACTTACAAATTGAAGGAACTCTACCACATGGAGGAAGATGGGATGGAGATTTTCCGTAAAAGATGGGAAAAGTGGGAAGAGTTTGAAAGGTCAAATTCATACCTGGAATATATGTACTAGGGAAAAGAAGTCATGGAGGATAATTATAATATTAAATTAAAAAAGTAATATTCTTTTAGGATAAATAGAATGAGTAGGAAAGAAATCAATCAGGGCTGCGGGGGAGGGCTTAAAGGAGGGGGGAAAAAGGATACCAAGAGTAATGTCAATGTTTCGATATATTGTTAGATAAATATGAGTATCATAGTAAAAAAAAAAAAAAAAACGAACACTTTTGAAACAATTTGGTAACAACAGTACTTATTATATATTTTTATTAGCTTACCTGCTCTGAAAATCTGCCACCATGTCCCTCCTTTCTGAGATCTTCGAAGAGCCATCTAGCCGCATATATGTATGCTTCCTATATACCATATATTCCTGTGAAAAAACAAAACTGGATTGCTCAACTACATGCATAATAAACAGATTACACAAGATGTGAATGCTAAAAGCCACCCTCAGTTTATACCTTTCCCATCTATGGTTGGTTACGCTTACACCCCGGTCACATCGATCCTGACTTTGAGATTGTGCGACTTCACTATAAGTCACACGATTTCAAAGTTGGGATATCATTGCGGTTTGAGGTGAGATTTGCAAGATATCTAACACAGACGTCCATGCAAATCACACCAAAAGTAGTGCATGCAATACTTTAGAAATCCATGCAGCTCCGACCAAGTCCGAACCACGCCGATATGACCACTGTAATTGCGGACAATAGGGTGCGACTTGACATGCAATTTGCAAGTCGCATGGCATGCAAATTGCACGCCAAGTCGCACCCAGTGCGACCGGGGTCTTAGATTGCGTATGAGAACATTGAGGCTGCTTGGAAGGTTCAAATGGTACTAAATGAGCATTATCAGCTTAAAACTTGTCCTGTTGAAGTTATGCAAAAGAGGTAGGAAGGCTCACTGAGTGCCTGTGTACATTGACTGTCAAAAAGTAGATGCATAGGCCCCACAAGTGTGAATTACACAGTACGGTATACTACCTCTAGCAGATCAATCATCCGAGTCATCTGTGAGTAAATAAGCACTCTGTGTCCTTGGGACTTGAGGCGTGTTAGCAGTAGGTCCAGTGCATACAGCTTTCCACTATCTGTGATCAGACTCTCCTTGTCTGTAATACATGATAAAGATCAATGTAAAGATTGTGTTACTGTGCATCATAGACGAACCGCACTTACAGTAGAAGCATATCACGTGTAAACCTATTATTCTACTAAAGATACTGTAAAAGCAAAATGAAACACCTATTTGCATAACCGAATTCTTTAATACTAACAATAGCACATCCAAATTTTTTGGATGATGTTGGGGTTGATTTACTAAAACTGTAGAGTGCAAAATCTGGTGCAGCTGTGCATAGAAGCCAATCAGCTTCCAGGTTGTATTGTCAAAGCTTAACTGAAAAAGCTGATGTTAGAAGCTGATTGGCTACCATGCACACCTGCATCGGATTTTGTACAGTTTTAGTAAATCAACCACTATGGGTTTACTAAGAGTTTTAGGGCTATCATCCCCCTTCCCTTTCTACTTGCTTAAACAACAATGTACAATAAAAGCTTAACTTGCTAGTTAGTAAGACAGCCATTGCTATAGCTGTATACGGACATTAGTGAATTGACGGTGGCCAGGCCCAATACGATTGTTTACAGGCCCATACGATTGTTTACAGGCAACTCTGCTAGCCCATGCAACTTTGAACACAAAACAGTTGCCTCAAATGCTTAGGCTTGGTAGGGAGGATAACCTATCTGACTGATATTCCTACCCCAATAAGCCTTGGCCACAGGTATCTGCAGGAGGTCATACATTAAACGGTTTCCAGACGAAAGCCACCAGATCAGTAGACAGTCACTAAGTGTGAGGCAGAGGCATTAACTGGTTGTTCAGGCAGAGGCAGTGAACAGTACCTCATTTTCACATAGAACCTGTTCTTGGCCACAGTTGAGAATTAGCAATATCTAAGCAGGGGGCAATTGGACTTTGAAGGAGTAGTAACTTAGTATAGCAGCGACCATACATGTGCACCAAGAGTTAGCAAAAGACATTGATGCAGTGATATATAGTATACGATGGCAGGTTGCAGAGCATGACTTGCCACAAACGGCAACTTTTTCCAAAACTGTACTCTAAGATGCTTCAAACCCAACCCTGAAATGAGCTTTCAGCTTCAAATAAAAGGTTTCCTTACAAGTATAATACACAGAGAAGATGGGAAGTGCCAAGACCAGTGAGAGCGCCAACAGCGCAGTGCTAGAGGGGCACATTTAGCAGGTACGTCTGCCATATTGTGCGAATATGCTGTGCATTCTAGCATATTAAGGCTAACACCTCTGGGTGGCATTTTATTTTCAAAGTTTAATTTTGTTTTAACAGCTGAAACCTGGAATCATATGAAGGTATGACATTTTTAGAATCCCTATATGGGAAAGAGCAATGACAAGAATGTTTAACCAATATTATCCTTAGCATAAAGCCAAAATACTAAACAATCGTTCCAAGGCTGGCCATGCACTGAATGAAATTCAGACAGTCCAGTAGGGACTGAATTGATTTTTATCAGTGTATGGCTGCCCCTGCTCAACATAAGTAAATCACTTGATTGACTGCCTAAGGGACATGTTGGAAAATGTTTGTTGATCAGTGGCTGCAGCACATACACTTTCTTTTTTAATAGCATGAGCAAATACAAACAATAGTTATATATGACAATCCAATATAAACTTAATTGCAAAAAAATAAATCTTCCATGTTGTAAGTGCTGCCTATCTGCTGGCCATCTCTACAACTTCCTAGATTTCCTGCATGCTTTGCAACTGCTCCTCTGCTGTTTACGTTTGTTTTCTAAGGGGTACATATCCCACGGTACCTTGCTGCCTGCAAGCTGTGATTCCTGTACTGATTCCGCCTCCTGTCAGCACCGATGTGGTTTGGAAGTAAGGCTCCATGAAATGTGTGAAACAACAGTGCCTGCTCACAGGGCATAGTGAATACATCATTGGATACAAAGAAAAACAAACAGGGGGCGCACCGGCCTAGTGCAAAACAATTATTGGAAGGATAAAAAGTAAGTATCACACTCACAATAGGCAAACAGGTCAAAGGCACATCACACTGAATAGCGGTGTCCAATCCACACTGCATATAAGTCTAAAAAAATGGAACCCTGGATTTCCAACAGGCTAACACGTTTCGATGTCTCAACCTCTTTCTTTGTATCCAGTGACATTAGACTATACCGGTCCGTTGAGGCAGCAAGGAGTGCATTTTCCAGGATATCTGTGATGTTACCATAACCCTAGCCTAGAGTCCATCCTGAAGCGCAGGAGTACAGAGTTTGCTGTGTTTTCATAGTGAATACATGCCACAAGATTTTGATACCTAGAAATTGTACAAAGATTGAAATATGTATAATGGCCCTTTGATTTACCAAACCTATGTAATAGACAGAGAAACCTAAACAATCCATTCAATCTGTATCCAGCCAGGAAGGCCCTTGCATTACATAGTTGTTGGTAGTTCTAAAGGATCGTACATTCAGATGGTATAGTGCATGCCCAGATTTAGAAAGATCACTGTACATGCACATATTCTGTAACTAGAATCATTATTATATTGGTGGATGATGTACATGAATTTTGAGACTACTGTTATGGTCCACCATGTAGTAGTTCTTGGTTATGTGGGTTCTGCACATGTCGCCTTCCCTATAGCAGATTTACTGCTACAGGGTGGATGTTTTGTGCAAAATCACACATACATACATACACACACATTTTTATATATATATATATATATATATATATATATATATATATATATATATATATATACATACATATACACATACACACACGATTTTGAACTTCTGCTGTAGGAGGCACGCACTGCCAGGCACACAACTTCTGCTGTGATTTGATACAGCAGAAGCTAATCAATGGGTGCCGGCCAATGGATGAGCGCCCACACCAGTTGATCATCCAGGAGAGTGACAGGACACAGTTCTGGAAACAAGGCAGAGCTGTGTCCTGTCACTGGCGATGTGCTGGATTTTCATTCCCTGAAAAGCAGGGACACAAAGGTAACCTGACAGGAGGAGCAATACGCATCACTCCCAGTAAAAAAGTATGAACCAAAGAGTGAGACGCAATGGGCCTTTGGAAAAAAACAGCTAATGCTGAAACCTGGCCCTTAATGGTACCAACAGCCAATTTCTTCTGCAACCCTGTTTGAAGAAACGACAAAATCCTACCACATACTTCTGTGGGTGCCATTTGCGAACCTCATACCAGGAAATGTAAGCCTTCCAAGTTCTGTAAAAAATGTTCCTAGAGACTACCTAACATCCAACATGATGGTGATGACAGAATCTGATACTCCCCTATCCCTTAGGATCTGGATTTCAATAGCCATGCCGTCAAATTTAGCGACCATAAAGATGGGTGCAATATAGGACCTTGAGACAGCAGGTCTGGCTGACATGGCAGGGACCACGACCCATCTACTGCCATATTTTACTATGTCCATGTACCAGGCTCTCCTGGGCCAGGCTGGAGCAATCAGCATCACTGTAATAGACTCCTCCCAAATCCTGCGTAAGAGATGAGGCAGCAGCTAAATCAGAGAAAAGGCATAAATCATTGAAAACTGGTTCCAAGGAATCACTAAGGCATCTACCTCTGCCGCAAGGAGGTCCCTTACTCTGGACACAAAAAGACCGTCCTTATTGTTGAACCTGGGTACCAACAGATCTACATGCAGGCAACCCCATTGCTGGCACATTCCCTTGAAAGCCCATTCCCCTGGAATCAACAGCCGGTGACTGAGATAATCCGTCTGCCAATTTTCCACCCCCAGAATGAACACCGCTGACAAACTTGAAGAATATATCTCTGGCCACCTCACAATGTAATTCACCTCCTCCTGAGCACCTCGACTCCTGGTACCGCCCTGGTGGCTGATGTATGCCATCGCTGTGGCATTGTAGGACTGAATCCTTACAAACTGACCCTGAAACCTGGATGTCCAATACCTCAGAGCCAGTTTCACTGCCAAAGTTCCAGGACATTGATGGGTTCCTGACCCATAACGTTCCCTGAACTATGGCCTACTCCAGGACAGCCCCCCAACCTGAGAGGATGGCATCAGTGGTTACCAATTTCTACATCACAGGCTGAAAGATCTCCTTCTCTCCAAATTGTGAGTCATCAACCACCAATTCAGGCTTCGTAGTACCTCTGGAGACAGATATGCAGTAATCCAGGGCCGGAATATTCTTGTTCCAAACAGTCAAAATGTACCTTTGCAGCCTCAAATGAGGACACCATCTTCCGCAGCAACCTCATACAGAGTTGAATTGAAGAATCTTGGTTTTTAAACTGCAAACCTCATTCCTCAGGGCACAACGTTTTCCTGAAGGCAGAAATACCTTTGCCTGAACCGTGTCTAGGACCATCCCTAAATACTCCAGGCTCTGGACTGGTTCCAGAGCCGACTTGTTGAAGTTGAGCACCCAGCACAGCTGTTCCAGAATCTACATCACATCCAGCTTCAGACCTGGAACTGACCGACCTCTGAACAATAGATAGTCTAGAAAACCTGTGACTGATATCCCCGAGTTCTGAGCAGCCCCAACACTGGAGCAAGAATTTTTGTGAGAGCCGTGGCAAGCCCAAAGGTAATGCTATGAACTGGAAATGGTATGCATCCTTGATGTCTATGGACGCTAAAAAAAAATCTCCTTCCTGTAAAGAGGCAATTCCATACGAAAAGACTGGATAATTTAGAAACAGATTTAGCCTCTTGAGGTCCAAAATGGGCCTTACATCCCCATTTGGCTTTGGGACTGTGAACCGGTTTGAATAAAACCCCTGAAACCTTTTGTCTGCTGGAACCTCCGTGATCACCTCCTGAGACAATAGGAGACCGAGTGCCTGTAATAAAGCTCGTCTCTTCTTTGGATTCATTTGTACATTTGATTTTAGAAACCGGGGAGGGCGAAAGACTCAAAATAGTAGTCTGTACCCCAGAGAGATTGCGGAAATGACCCACTTGTCTTAGATTAGAGCTCCCCAGGCAGCAACAAAATTCAAAATCCTTTCCCCCACCCGAACG